TCATTGTTGTTTGGCGGGTCCGGGCTGGGGATTCGAACCTGCCACCTTAGGTGTACATGGCTGGCGCCTTAGCCGGTTGAGCTATAGGCGCCGAGCCAAAAGTATCTTTAAAGAAGAAAGTGCTGGCCCTGAAACTCAAGTTTGACTCCAAGATTGAGGTTCTTTACATTACACAGGGTGGTAACTCCTGCTTGCAGGAGCTATGGGACATGGGATCCCTGACAGCATATTCCTTTTACCTCAGGTCTAAGTCTTAAAAAAAGATCAATAAAATCTCACTGGCTTTCCTTTTATTTCACATGTTAACATGGATTTCTTTGAGGGATAATCATTTTGACATGGCCCATTTAGCCTCTGGTATATAGCTTCTAACCTGTCACTCCCAAATCCTTTATATAATTCTAAAGGAATTGAAAATAATTGGATGGGTAATTCTTTTCATCTCCTTCAATTAATAAAACAGTGTTAACGTTTTGTGATAGGTGTTTTGTCTTTGGTAAGACACAAAAACAGCACGGAGACTTGGGATGAGTTTGTATCCTATCTGAGCTAAAGATATCATATGGACGGGTCCTAAACCTTAATATTTAAGCTGAATTTCTCTTATAAAGCATAAAATGTACAAGGCAACACACTTTAGACTTTGCATGAAGTATGTCTGTTTTTGCAAAACCTCCCATTTTAATTTTCCTTTCTGATATTTGAAATTGTATGCATCTTATGGAATGTAACTCTATACTGCAAAGGAAACTACTAACTTGAGCTAAGACCAAATCATATCTACTTGTCAGAAGTCCAGTTCAAACCTCCCAAAACCTATTCTAATTCCTTGCCAGATAAGATCCCATCTTTGACTTTTTTTTTTTTTTTTTAGACAGAGTCTCACTTGTTACCTTAGTGTCACAGCTCACAGCAACCTCAAACTCTAAGTAGCTGGGACTATGGGTGCTCGTCATAGCAGCCCGGCTATATTTTGAGACAAGGTCTCACTCTGGCTCAGGCCGGTCTCAAACCTGTGAGCTCAGGCAATCCACCTGCCTTGGCCTCCCAAATGCTGGAATTATAGGTGTGAGCCACAGTGCCTGGCCCCATTTTTGACTTTTCATACCACTTAGTTTATATTCCTTTTATGGCAGGTATCATTATTATTTGCAAACATGTCTTACTATTTTCAAAATAAATCCAGAACTGGTGACACCTGTGGCTCAGTGTGTAGGGCGCTGGCCCCATATACTGAGGGTGGTGGGTTCAAACCCGGCCCTGGCCAAATTGCAACAAAAAATAGCCAGGTGTTGTGGCAGGGGCCTGTAGTCCCAGCTACTGGGGAGGTTGAGGCAAGAGAATCACCTAAGCCCAGGAGTTGGAAGCTGTGTGATGCCACGGCACTTTACCCAGGGCGATAAAGTAAGACTGTCTCTTAAAAAAAAAAAAAAAAAAAAAGAAATCCAGAACCTAACTGCTTCTAATCATCTTCACTGCTATCACCCTGATCCAAACCACTGTCATCTTTTGCCTAGATTACTGCAATATCCTTCTAAGTAACTCGTCTTGCTGTTTTCACTTTTGGCCCACTCACCCATAACCGTAGTTAGTATGATCCTATAAAAATTTAGGCCAGATTATGTCACTCTTCTCAGATGCATGCAATTTCAAACCTATCTAATCCAGAGTAAATGACAAAGTTCTTTAAACAGCCTATAAGGCCCTACATGCAGGGATCCCCAACCTTTATGATATCAACGACCAGTTTCATGGAAGACAATTTTTCCATGGACGGAGGTGTGGAGGGGTGGGGATTAGATTTTCATAAGGGGTGCACAACCTAGATCCCCTGCACATGCAGTTTACACTAGGGTTCATGCTCCTATGAGAATGTAATGCTGCTGCTGATGTGAAAGAGGCGCAAGCGATGGGGAGCAGCTGTAAAATATCAATGAAGCTTTGCTTCCTACCGGCTGCTTACATCCTGCTGTGTGGCTGGGGTTGCTGTGTGGCTGGGGTTCCTAACAAGCCATAACCTCCCACCAGTCTGCCACGTGCTCCCTCTTCTCTCCCCCACTCAGCTTCTACTCTTTCCTTCACTCCCTCCTGATGTTTCCTGAACTCACAAAGTATCCTTCTCTGACAGGGCCTTACAGCTGCTGTTCCTCCTGCCTGAGAAACAACTCTTCTAGACATACATGTGTCTTGCTTCCCAGCTTTCTCTAAGTCTTTACTAGAACATCATCTTTTTTTTTTGTTGAGACAGAGCCTCAAGCTGTCCCCCTGGGTAGAGTGCCGTGGCATTACAGCTCACAGCAACCTCCAACTCCTGGGCTCAAGCGAGTCTCTTGCCTCCGCCTCCCAAGTAGCTGGGACCACAGGCACCCGCCACAATGCCCGGCTATTTTTTGGTTGCAGCCGTCATTGTTGTTTGGCGGGTCCGGGCTGGGGATTCGAACCCGCCACCTTAGGTGTACATGGCTGGCACCTTAGCCGGTTGAGCTATAGGAGCCAAGCCGAACATCATCTTCTTAAATAAGAAAGACCTCTTACCACCGTATATAAAAATGTCAAATCTCTCCTCCTCTCACATCTCTTTTCTCTTTACATTGCCATTATGTTATTGCTACAGCACTCATCACCACATTACATACTATTTACTTGATTACTGTTTCCCCTTCCTTTAAGAAAATGTAAGCTTCAGGAAGGAAGCAACTTCTCTCTTCCCTGTTGTATCTCCAGCCCCCAGAATAGTCCCTGGCACAAAGCCAGCAATCAATAAATATTTACTGAATAAATGAATTTACTTTCCATTTTAGAACCTACACATCTTAAACATTTTGATCCTTCTTTACACTTTTTATATCACCAACTATGGTTACTTTCACTTAACAAATATTTTTCAATGAATGAAAAGGAAAGGAATTGAAGTTACTGAGAATACTTGGGATAAGTCTGCAAAGAATGAGGAACACCAACAATCCAAGCAACTGCATACACTGGAGAGCTTAATGGTTCTAAAATGAAAAGGTGACTGTGGGAAGGAGAACCTGGTCTTTCTCTATCTGCCAACATTTTGGGCTGTTAGTATTTCTATAGCATTCATAAAACGGGTATCAAGATAGTAATATTTAACTCTTTAAACTGGTCGTCTTTATTCACTATCTTTAATTATGCACGTCTCAAGACTCTGTTTAGGACTGCTTAGGTTCATGCCCTACTCAGATCGCTTAATGCTCTTAACATTCCTTGGACCTAAGATATTAATCCGCCCACACCCGGCAAAGGAGGTGACGTAGGCTCAGAGGGTAGTGGCAGGTTCCAGGGGACTTAGTTACTAAGTGTCACTGACAGGATTCTAACCTAGGACATCTAGTTTCCGGGGCCACAGAACAGAGGCACTCAGGCCTTCAGAAGTAGACTAACTTGAGAGCAGTCTCCGCCTCTGAAGGAGTTGCCTCCCAAAAGGCAGCAATACGACTGCGCAGATTGCCAGAACACAAGTATAATACTATACCGAGGTGTCCACGGGGTCAGGAGTCTCTGGCATTTATCGGAAAAAGCAGTTTTGCCTACAAATGCCTCGAAAACCCAAGTTTCCTGGTCGTTGGTGCAGCACACCAGGATTAAGGAAGCGTATTCGAGAAGCGCTCGGCAAACTGCAGACCGGCAGACCCACAGAAACGCAAAGGAAGCTCTGGAAACAATACCTGAATGAGGCGGGGACGAATAACTTGCTGACAATGGGCACCGGTCAACATTCGGGGTGGGGGGGAAGGGCAGAGATACTCCAGAGGGACGCCAGTCCTCTAGTAGAGCCGGTGGAGCCCCGGGTGTCAGCTTCCCGGGGGCGGGGGTCCGAGAGACCCCAGGCCAGACCCTTCCCAGACCCCTCTCAGCCCGGGCGCGGGGCCCCTTCAGCCGTCTCCCCTCATGACTCAGCTCGTGCATCGCGTGCCCTTCCGGAGCGCCCCGCGCCCGGCCCGTTCCCCGTTAGCCCGCAGCCGGCCGGGTGGCCGCTTACCTGCGAACCCCGCGTCCTTCTCTTCCTCCCTCCGGAGGCGACTGAAGCGGACCGCGGCGCCGCCCCCTCCCCCTCAGCCCTAGCCCGCCCCTCGCAGCCGGAACTGCTCGGGTCGCCGCCCTTTTCCCCGCCTCCCTTGGCCCCCAGTGTGGCGTCACTTCCGCCAGCGCCCGGCCGCTTGCGCGGAGTTTGGATCTCGGGAACGCGCCGGGAGCGTTCCCAGTGTCGGGAGCGCGCCCCGTGGATGACAACAAGTTCGTCGCGCGGCAGCGGTGGCGGTGTCTGCCTTATCCCCTGCCGCCCCACCTCGTGCTATCTTGCATCCTCTCTCTGTGCCGATTAGGATCCCCTCGGACACACCCTGTCTCGGGTGACTGGGTCTCTTCTGCGCCTTGTCCCCGACAGGCCTCGTGCGAGCGGCACGGCATGGGCAATGGGGTCGTCCTAAGGGACGCCTGCCGCTGAGCCGGTATGGAGGGGACGCCCCGGGTTTAGGCGCCGCCGCGGCCTGGGGGACGTTGTCTGGGACCCAAGGCTCAGCTGCCGAGGCCTGGACCTGAGGCCTCAGCCCTGAGGCCGGAGCCACCGCTGCCGCCCGCAGCTGCAGCCAGCCCAGCTGCTAGCCCTCACCATGCCGTGGCCGTTTTCGGAGTCTATAAAGAAGAGGGCCTGTCGGTACCTCCTGCAGAGGTACTTGGGCCACTTCCTGCAGGAGAAGCTGAGCCTGGAGCAGCTCAGCCTGGACCTTTACCAGGGCACCGGGTCCCTCGCCCAGGTCCCCTTGGACAAATGGGTAAGTGCTGCCGGAGGCGACGGGGTGGGATTCACTCCCCTCCTTAGGGAGATTCAAACGAGTGTCAGCCAGAATTGGTGACAGTCAGTCTCTCCCTGGGTATTGCCCGGACCCAAGTGTGGCAGGGCTCAGAGAAATGTGTTAAGAGTGTGGTTTAATGTGTTTGTAGCGAGTTTACTTCCCCCCCCCCAGATCACGTGTTCCAGAAACTTAACAGATGTAATGGAGTCTACCTTATGGAAATAATCGAGTCACTGTTTCGGGGTCTATGAAACAGGCTGAAGTGTCCATGGAAGGAGGTGACCTGTTCTGCCCTTTGGGATGTGAGGGGCCTCAGGGTTCCTTGGCAAATAAACTATTTCATGGAATGACATTCTGAAAAGAATAAAGATGAGGAGGACCTTTGGGATGTCAGAACCCCTAGTTATTTGTTTTGGGTTAGCTACTTGCATACCGGGTTTATCTTGTCTTGGTGCAGCGTTTGCCATCTGGAAGAAAGTTAGGTGAAGGCCTCCTTGGCCGGTTTGCCAGCTTTTGCTTGATTATATGATTGTAAGAGCAGTTTGTGTACCTAGCCTGTGAATGGTTGTGTGGCCCTAGCAGTGCTGTTTAGTTATGCTGCGTTGCCTCACGTGACAGACCGTAAAAGCAGGTGTTGCAAAAGCGCTGAATCTGCAGTTTTCAGACATTTCTAAAACCTACTTTCCACTTGTCATTTAGCGGCTGTGGGTTGACTTACTGTTTCTTACGGGTACTTCATGTGCATGTCAGTGCACTTCATACGGTTGTACCTGCATGTGTGTGTTGAATGCATAGTATTTTACTTGAAGTAATTCACCCTTGGGTTTGAAAAGAATGGAGTGGCTTCTCTTTTCCCAACTCCTACTTTCTTAGCCACAGGAAAGTTTAGATTGTAGTAACACCTTGTTATGACCCTTAATTTGTTTTTTTATTTTTATTTATTTTTTATTTTTTTGATTGAGACAGAGCCTCACTTTGTCACCATTGGTAGAGGGCTGTGGTGGCATAGCTCACAGCAACCTCAAACTCTTGGACTCAAGTGATTCTCTTGCCTCAGCCTCCCTTGTAGCTAGGTCTACAAGAGCCTGCCACAACGTCTGGCTATTTTTTTTGTTGTTGTTGTTTGTTTGTTTGTTTAGCAGGCCTAGGCTGGCACTCTAACCACTGACCTTCAGGCGCTCAGCCTATGACCCTTAATTTGTGCTAGAGAGTATGAATACATACATAGGTTCATCAGTGATTAGACGACTTAAAGTAGGGAGAGTACACAAGATGGTGGAAAAAACTCTGGTTTGAGGAGAGAAAGACCCACCCAGTCCCTTACCAGCATAGTTGAGGCTGCTGTAATTCACCAAGTGATGTACATAATAATTCACCTGAGTTTAGTAAACATTAATGGGAGCATACACTTCATGGCAGATACCGTATCAGGGTATTTCTGTAATTCTTTTTTTTTTTTTGAGACAGAGCCTCAAGCCGTCCCCCTGGGTAGAGTGCCGTGGCATTACAGCTCACAGCAACCTCCAACTCCTGGGCCCAAGCGAGTCTCCTGCCTCCGCCTCCCAAGTAGCTGGGACCGCAGGCGCCCGCCACAACGCCCGGCCATTCTTTGGTTGCAGCCGTCATTGTTGTTTGGCGGGTCCGGGCTGGGGATTCGAACCCGCCACCTTAGGTGTACGTGGCTGACGCCTTAGCCGGTTGAGCTATAGGCGCCGAGCCTATTTCTGTAATTCTTACCAGAAGTTTGGGATTCTTATGGATATTTTTAAATTCAGCAGTCTGTGATCCTGTACTTTTGGTATAGTTATGAATAGATTATCTTAATGGAGGAAGGTTGTATATTTATTAAATGGCTTTGTGGATGGAGGGACTTTATGTATTATTTTTTAATGACTTTATACAGGGTGGCCATAAAGTTCGTATGCAATTTGTATTAACCCTGTAAGGTGGCATTCTTATTTCTGTTTTACAGATGGACTTACATAATTTGCTCAAGTCACACAGTTGGTTAGGTAGAATTCACACCTCTCTAATTCCTAAGGCTGTGCTTTCTTCATTACATCAAATAGACTGAAGGAAAGGTAGTTAATATTTATTGTGCATCTGTTTATATCTGGCACTGTGCTAAGCACTTTTATTTGTGTTTTATTTAGTCCTCATGGGAAATCAGAGGTAGTGATATGTGAATTTTATAGTTTTAACTTACGGATTTTTTTTTTTTTTTGAGACAGTGTCTCACTATGTCACCCTAGGTAGAGTGCTGTGATGTCATAGCTCACAGCGACCTCAAACTCTTGGGCTTAAGCGATTCTCTTGTCTCAGTCTCCCATGTAATTGACAGGTGCCCTCCACAACATCTGGCTATTTTTGTTGTTGTAGTTGTCATTGTTGCTTTTTGGCCCGGGCTGGCTTCGAACCTGCCAGCTTCCATATATGTGGTTGGCACCATAACCACTGTGCTACAGGTCCTAAGCCTAACTTAAGGATTTTTGGCAAAATGATTTATGATTTGACTTAATATGAGGATTTATGTTTTGCTTTCTTTGAGGGTAAAGGTTAATTAAAATTGTCAAAGCATCCAGTAAACATTTATTTATTTATTTTTGAGACAGAGTCTTACTCAGTCACCCTGGAGTTGAGTGCCATGGCTTTATGACTCACAGCAACTTCAAACTGTTGGACTCAAATAGTCCTCTTGTCTTAGCCTCCCAAGTAGCTGGGACTAGGGGCACTTGCCGCAACACCCAGCTAGTTTTTCTATTTTTTTATAGAGATGGGGTCTTGCTTTGCTCAGGCTGGTTTTGAACTCCTGAGCTCAGGCAATCCATCTGCCTCAGCCTCCCAGAGTGTTAGGATTACAGGCGCAGTAAACATTTATGGTTGCTGATTTGTTTATTTTGGTATGCTGTATTGATTATTAAGATAAGATACATTTATTATAGATATAATTTTTCAAAGTTCTGATGAAATTTAGTTACTTTTGAAATTTGATTTTAATGAGTTTCAGGACTGAAAAAAGATGTCTACAATGGAAGAATTGCCTCATTGGCTGTATTACTAATGTTTCACTTCTTAGCTATCAGTTATGCAAATAATTTTGTTAAAATTGGTAAAGACATTCCCATCCTCCCTGATCTCAGTTATTCTGTTATTGTTGCTAAGACATTTTGCAAATATGTATACATGTAAAAATTAGATTTATTTATTTATTTATTTAGAGACAGACTCAAACTATGTCACCCTTGGTGGAGTACTATCATGTCACAGCTCACAGCAACCTCAAACTCCTGGGCTTAAGCAGTTCTCTTGCCTCAGCCTCCCAAGTAGCTAGGACTACGGGTTCCTGCCACATGGTTGCAGTTGTCATTGTTTAGCTGGCCTGGGCTGGGTTTGCACCTGCCAGGCTGGGTGTATGTGGCCGGAGCCATAACCACTGTGCTACAGGCGCCAAGCCTAGATTTATGTTTTGTTTTATTTTATTTCTTTTTAGACAGGGTCTCACTTTGTCACCCAGGGTAGAGTGTCATAGCTCACAGCAACCTCAAATTCTTGGGCTTAAGCAATTCTCTTACCCTGACCTTCCGAGTAGCTGGGACTATAGGCACCCCCTTTATCCCCCACAATGCCAGGCTATTTCAAGAGATGGGGGACTTGCTTTTGTTCAGGCAGTCTATCTCTGCCTTAGCCGCCCAGAGTGCTAGGATTACAGGTGTGAGTCACCATGCCTGGCCTAAAAATTAGATTTAAAGCCAACTTTTCTTTTTTTTTTTTTTTTTTTTTTTGAGACAGAGCCTCAAGCTGTCCCCGTGGGCGGAGTGCCGTGGCATTACAGCCCACAGCAACCTCCAACTTCC